TTTTAATTTTAATATAAATTAACTAATTACTTTGAATTCTCATGTTTATGAGAACATCTACTTAAATACCATTTTTCATCAAATGAATAGAATTAAAAGAATATGTAGTAATGTTTATTTATCCAAGAAACAAATCGACCAACTCTTTCAAAATTTGATAAAAAACAATGGATACCCAATCAAAGAAATTAAATTCTGTATAAAATCATTGATTTAACTGTATGTTGTTATAAACATATTTACTAAAAACTTCTTTGCTAAATTTATATAGTTTTTACCACGGGCAAATCCATTTCGTGCAAATCCGTGGCTAAAGATATGTGTAAAACAGGCAATTCATGATTCTCCCTCTCTATTTTTTTTTCTTCTGAAATAAAAGTTAATTTTCTAAAATCATTAGAATTGTAAAATTAAATATCAACCTCACCAATTACAAACATCTTCAAATTATCAGTATAATAATATTACCTTGCACACATCCATTTACGAACCAATCCTTGGTAACTAACAAATCCAACGTGCGTTAGTACTGCAGTAGGAACAAGCCATAAAACAAAATCCCTCTATTTACGCTTTTACCCTAATTTACACTTCCGTTTTCATTTTTTGTAATCTGGCAATCTTATTATAAAAATATTTTGAATAATTCTTGAAAATTTTCCGGTCCATGTAAGTTCATTTGAATTCGCAACTCGCTTTATAGATTTCGTTCTATGTTTTGATCTGTTTTTCCTTTACATTTTATTTTCTGTTTTTCGCGTGATATTCATTACTTAATGTGTTCTGTTCTATTTTTTTCAAAACATTTTTTTGAGTGCTTCTCCCATTATTGTATAGATATATTTTGCTTTGGCTAAATAGATACAGTATTAAAAAACACTCCCTTTGCGATGAAGATATTATATCTTTCTTTCCGATATTTCTATTGATTTTTTTTTAAATAATTTATTTTAAATAACTTTATTAATATCATAATTCTGTAATTTTCCATACATTTTGAACTTATGAGCTCTATACTATATACTTGCGCAATAAATAAAATGTATTGATTTTCATATATATATATATATATATA